GCAGAATTCGATTTTTGCCAAATTTTTTGGACCGAATTAAATGAATAGAATCACTGTCCTAAACTTCACCCTAGAGCGCTCCAGCCAAGTTCCCATTCGAAGACCGATTTCACACCGACACTGTCGGGTATTACACCTCCACCTGTCAGAATCAGTTGAAAGTGCCATTTGGTGGACATTGTTGCATAAACGTTGATGATGGATCACTCCATGGCTTTGCAAAGAACGTATTGCCGTCTCCTTTTCATGAATGAGAGTTGAAAGCGTCAGAAAATGGGCCTAGACCCGGGTAAGGAATCGTTTTCATCAATATTAGGTCAATGTTGTCGTGTATGTTAAATTGGAGCTGGCAGAAAGTGGTGGGGCTTAACTTTTCGCACATGCACTTTTTGCATTAGGGGCGGGGCTTATCCGGAAAAGGTCCTTTTTGTGATTCAGACAAAGAGCAATGGTTACATGGTCTCCAGATGGAAATGACTGGCCACCTTCGTTCAGTCATCTGGAAGAGAAGTAACAAATCGATGCCCTTACATACAATACCGGTCTCATCTCAATGTATGCTTGATGTGTTTGTTGATTCGCGTCCCTGTGGTATTCCAACCAGGGGATTATGAACTTTTAAAAGCGAACAGTGCACAAACAATGGAGTACCGAACACCTTCTCTTACCTGTGTGGGTGGATAAGCATTAATATTCGCCGTTATTTGGTGTTTCTAAATAAATGTACTACACAAATGCCGCCTATTGTTTCAGTTCGAATGACAGTCAAGATAGCATAGTGCTTTCTTTGATATAAAGCTACTGGACAAATCGTCTTATCCCCAAGAGACTGACACCACCGACGGTACTCACACACACGGACTAGCAGGGATCAAACAACCACTGGTTCATGAGTTCTTGGCCAGGCCCCCGTACTGCAGCTCAGTGGATGAGAAGCGCCCGGAGCAGTCTAACAAGTAGGTACACACAACACGATCCGATATTTTGGTGAGCAAGGGAGCATACACAATACATATTTGGAATACTGTGCCCACCAAACAGGTCAAAGCTGACCTCCATATTTAAACCGACCTGTTGTTTGCTTTTTTTGACAGTTAGAAATAAAAAATGTCTGGCATCCCGATCAGACCTGTCATCACAAAATCCGTGATTTCACATGAATTCCACATACTTTTCGGGTCGATGAATGTTATGTCTGACGGCTGTCTTCGTTCTAATGCCAAGAGTCGGAAAAAGACTCGCCGACAAGGAACGCAACAGCTTTATTGCAACAGGCGAGTGTGTGCGAGTGCATAAGTTACAATGGCCTCGCGCTACTTAAAGGGTATTTGTTAAGATTGATCCAAGTGGTTGATGAACACCTATCAACATCGACCGTGCTTCTATGAAATGTCTGAACACTCTTCATAGTTGGTTGTGCTTCTGTGGCTTGCCTGAACACTCAGCGTCTTTTTTCTGAATTGATTGAGTGACTGACTGGTCTAGAAGATCACTCAGGAAGATCAGAACCTTGAAAATAACCCCAGAGAGCCCGGAGCCTATTGGTACCCTTAAATTCCACCAAAATCTCAATATGGAAGTCGGCAAGCATCCAGTCAGTCACACGATCAATTCGGAAAAAGCCAATGAGCGTTCAGGCAAGCCACAGAAGCATGCAATGCCATGCCACCGTGCCCATTTCTGCTGCCTCGACATCGTTGTCGGTCTATGAAACCTGAAAGTGGTTCAACATATTACAGACCGATTCAGACTGATTTGTAGGGGAATGCATGGCTGTAAATAGAGAATGCAGTGAGAGGAACATCCGTCGTAGAGCGGCCATGACGTTCCAGAGAGGAAATAATCGTATTGTATCTAAAGTGAGGGCCAGCACACCGTCGCAAGGATGATGGAGACATCGGTATCATTGTGAATGCATCTAACACAAGTTGGCTATTGGTGCAGTGTTTAAGATTAGGTAATAGCTGACAAAATGGTGGGTATGGTGACCGTCACCAGGACTACGGGAAAACAATGTAGTCAATGAATGACCTCGTCTGAAGTACACCGTTTGGAACATGGGGCGTCGCGAAAAGTCCATGATTTCAATGGAATCGATGAAGAGGGGTGTATAGTTGTCTCAGACAAAGTTAGTGCCTCATCGAATTTCAAGTAATACTGAGCAAAAACCGTGTCAAACTTCGAAAAACTTGCATGATGTTCCGCTGATGAGCCTCCAAGAGGGACAAAACCGGTCATGAGTTGTCAAAGAGCTTCCAGCAGTCTAGTAAAAACTCATTTTCATATTCTTCTATCTGAGTGAACGGTACCAAAACCAATTCAGGGCTGAAACCTCTTAGGATTCTGTCCTGCGCGATGCTTTCACCAAATTTTTGTCTCACATATGCCCCCGAGTTGAGACCGTGGATAGGAGTCTGTATCCATTCGGGGATAGATACCACAGAACAAACCTTTGATGCTTTGTATATTTGGGGTTGGTATGGCAACCGCCGGCAAGATTATGCATGCCCGTGCCCTCCTTATTCGTGAGCCCTAAGTGACTCCTCAGTAGGGCCTACTCCCTTGGTCCTCCACGTAGAGATTGCCTACTGGCAAGTGGCTGATATATGGTACTGTTTTGGACTGTCCATAGAAGTGACCACTGTTCAGAGGGGCCATTCTTTTGCGCAAACTAGGTGCCACAATCAAAAAATTGGTTCTTATTTGAAATGTTACCACCTGTTAATAAGAAGTATCAGTCCGTGAGCCGTTCCTCTTCCACCATCTCCCATGCATCCAATCTGTCGTTCTCGGCGGTAGTTAAAGGTCCTACTAAGAACCAGTTGTTGATGACTACTGCCAGTGGACTTCGGTTTACCTGACGAAAACTATGTTCCTTTCGTGTAGCTATCGCCTTGATGACCGCCACAAGCACGATCTACTTCATGGCGACGGTGACAGGACCAAATGTCTGTTAGTTTTAGCTTGTGCTCTGGGGTGTAACACCAAATTCTGTCTTGTCCGTTCAAAGGAGGTCGGTAGTTTGGATCGCTCCAAAATCAGTCACGATGACGGTTACATAGCAGACCTACTTGAGACAAATAATAAAACCCGAAATCGCTATGGATCCCCTGGGTCCAATTAACAGAATTACCGGGCTCCGGGTGGGGACTCACCAAGCATAAAGGAAGGATTAGGTGAATGGCTTTCACAGTTGAACTCTCTTTTTAAAACCTCCATTAGCACCTAAAATATCTTTTTTTTACTTCCTTATTTCATAACTAACATGCTGACATATTAGGACGAGGAGCCACCGGTCAATTTGAAAGCGCTCATATGAGGCTGGAGCCAGGATTTTTGGAGTTATGGCGCATAATCTTAGGCACTAAACCACTGGCATCGAAAGCCGGGACTACTAGAAAACTTTGGTCGTTGAGCCAAATCCTCCCTGAACCAATCATCTACCCCACGTCCAAAAAAGGAGTGCTGCATTTTACTTTTTGTTATAGGTGTCCCAATGGGATCCGGTGTACGTCATTCTTGGATTTGGATAGGTTGAAGGAGAAAAAGCGAACATTAGCAGCCTATGACTGTATCCCCTTTCCTCAATGGTAAGAAAAGTTACCGATTGAAAATAAGCCCACCAGGACAGAAGATGGACCGTCCAATCACGAGCGATTTGGATTGAAAACCAAACCAATCACTCATCCGAATGCTCGGCTTCTTTTTCCATACTACCAGATGAGTACAAAATAGTTGAAATCGATACATTTTTTCTAAAACAAAAACTCGGAAGCATATCTAAGAAGCTCTTCCAGGTGACTATGAACATGCTAGGCTAGTCGCTGTGTTCGACCTTCTTGTTTTGTAAGTGCCCGTTGTACACTGGTCGTTAAGGCGCTCTCCTCGTACAATTCCTGTATTCCAGTCCAAGAACAGCAAGTGCGGGCGCATTGGCTGCAGCAAACCCACCTCGTATACCAGAGGTCCGATACAACCAAGCACATGTGCCGTTGATGAATTCCGGCAAGAGGTGTCCAGTGGCCCTAAACTCCCAGGTGAAAGTAGCCGTCAGCTAGTACTGACATCCATGTGTATTGACCATGTAGCGCAACGTTTCTTGATGTCCATTGGTTAGACCTCAGACTCCATTCGACTATGAATTGACTGAAAATGTAACAAAAGCATGCTTTTTGGGGACTTGACCGCACCCAGAATACTTGGTTTATTGCCACACTGGATCATAATAACCCCCGGATTTCCGCCAGCCCGTACGTGATCAAGTCCCCTACCTTGAATCAGAGGATCATGTAACAATGGTCCAGAGGTCTTAACAACGCGCTATTGTTGACCATGCCGACAGAGACAGCTCTCCAACCTTCTCCGTTCTCAGCGTTCAATCAGAACGCACATTTCGTCACGCCTGTTTCGCTGTTTGTGTGTCCTCTCGCGCCGTTCATCTTCCTATACCAGAAAGGACAACAAACAGCCAACGGTCTCTGGTCGCTCACCAACACATGCGAACCAAAGTCTGCTTGGACCGAGTGACTGTGGCAGACCGACCCATTATGTGGTCCGGTCAAAATAGCCAACGAAGGTCGTAGTTTGCTGCACTCTGTCTGGAAACTCTGAATACGGACGAGCGAAGAAAACACACGTGTGTCTAGACGGCTGGAATCAAAACGTAGATAAAGCGAAGAGACGAATGATTGCTAGTCATCGATAGACAATGGAAAATCCATCGTGTTTTCGACCATCCAGTCTACCTATCCTGGATGTGAATCATATCAGGTGAATTGTGTGAATTGTGTGCAAGATATTAATGAATTTGAATTTGAATGAATTATTCATCAAAGGATACGGTCATCTTCCGCCTCAATAACCGTGCCTTCTTGAACGGTATACTGAAGAGTTCCACATTTCACTAGGACATCAAATTGTCTGGCATTTGCGTACAGTCATTTTTTGGGCGAGATGGCCCAAGTGGTTAGAGCGCGAATTTACTGACCGGAAGGTCCGTGGTTTGAACCCGACCTCTGCCTCTCGACTTCCCCTGCCTAGGCTTGGGTAACCTGGCAGTATCCCAGCCCTCGTGCTTCCTTCGGGTGGCATGGCAGCTAGGCACCGGAAGGGTGTTACAGCTGAACAATTATTATTAATATTATTATTTTGTACTCCTGAACATTAGATAGATAACACCCCGGTTCCCAGGATCCAATACTGACCACTTAGAATAATCTGGGAAGAAATCAAATGAGACTCGAGGGACTTAAAAGCTGCATGCGTCATAGACAGCAATAGGGCCAGTGCTCTTGGAATGTGTGAAACCAGCGAGTAAAAGCGTGTGAGAGAGATCACCAAGAGTTTAGGCATTGTTGGTGCTTTCTGCCTTCCAGAATGAATTCCCTGTGCCCTCGCCTGTGCTTGGCTAGAGGCAGTATAAGAAATGACGGCTGATCGATGTCAGTGGATTTCGTGCTGTCAGTTCCTTTCCAGATACTTTGATGGGGCGCGTGGATGTGTAGGCATCTCAAAATGTTTGGAGCAGGCCAGCACCGGGTGCCCTCCTTCATCCACTCTTTTCTTTTCAATCCAAGGCTTTCAATATAATTAGATAAACTTGGTGACTGAACGCCAGTGAAGCATCAGTGTCAACACTGGCGTCGTTGTCTCTGATGATGTTGTTGTTGTTCATGATGATGATGATGATGATGATGATGATGATGATGACGACGACGCCGACGATGATGATGATGATGATGATGATGATGATGATGATGATGATGATGATGATGATGATGATGATGATGATGATGATGATGATGATGCACACCAGCGATACTCTGGGTTTGAGATCGCCAAAACGACGATGAAGCATCGAGGTGGTGGACGACCACCGAAGCCAGAGAACTGGAAACTATTGATCCCCCTGAAGTAGCGGTTGAGCAAATAACGGAAGGACCATTTGCTATGCACACAAACACTTGGAGTGTAGCTGACAAATGCTCCAAACAGCAAGAGCACACACCCTTAGTTCAGTGATGTCTGCGGTCATCGAAATTTGGCTGCATCACTGCTTACGCTACAAGGCAAATAGGTCGGGCGACAGAATCGGAGGTCGTGTCTAACCATGTATTGTAGAACTGAATTACCACGTTGGATCCAGTCAGTGCTCAAAGGATATGTGCCGTTCATTCCAAACGTCTTAGAAGACACAGACCTCCTTGAATGTATAAAGCCTAGATCTTCGGTTACGCCCGTTACTTGCTGATAGCCAGATATCAATAGTTTCAAAGAATTTACTCATAGCGACCTATCATGAACACGTCTAATTAAGCTCTTCCATGATGAGGCTTATTCATTGCTCCTAGGAAAACAGCATGGAGGGATAAGGAGAGGTGCTGCGTCCTTGTTGTGAAGTTCCTCAGTACGGTTAGCATCATCCACACACAGATGCAAGGACTAAACGGGACCTTGCAGAGCTCCAACTGAACCTACAGACCACTAGGTCTAGACAAAATGACTCTGATACTGAAATGCAGTCGAAAACTCTCTGCTGGAACTCCGGAGAAACCATGGCAGAGTATAGATGAATGTATCCACTTAACATGACACTGTGCTGCTGGAAAGAGTTTATCGAAGGAACCTTCCATCTTCCACCGAATAATTGTCCTCGGGAAGCTTACCGCAAAGAACGGCAAACCCAGGTGTGACTTAGCAAAACTATGGATATATCTGACTGTTGAAATGCAATGCCGAAATACTGGTCAGATCCCAACTTCTCAAGGAGTACAGGAGCCATGTGCAGTCGGATGAAGCAGTGGCAAGGACGGTCGGTGGTACAAGGGGAGACTTCTCTGAGAGGTCCAACGACCAAAAGTTTAGAGAAGGCTAGAGACTTCGAAACGGCATGTAAAGTAAACCAAAGAACGAATAAGCCATTCAAACAGTATAGAGAGCATGTGAAGGTCATGAGTCGCGTCATCAGTACGCCCGATAAGGTTCGAATGCAGCTTCACCAACCTGTTGTAGTCAACTCGAGTGAGTTTATCCGTTAAACCTCTGCTTACCGGTGTAACGGTGATACTACTGATGGGGGGACATACGAGTAGTATGCATTGTTCTTGGAATTTTGCCTTGCATCTCCTGAAAAGGGGAGGTCTGTTGCGTAATTTGTGGAGTTGCTCTGTGACATTTGTTTAGATTGGAGCAATAAGTGATTGGGGTCAATGAATATCCCTCAAAGAGGGGAAATTATCAGACAGTCTTGATGCCGATACACAAAAATGTGTACTGGAAAACTTCAAATTATGGTTCAGCACTTTAGAACGGGCCACCTTAAGGATACTCTTAAGAAAGACCACCAACAATTTGGTGGTTCATCAATTGATTATGGTTTCTAAAGTCTATATTTTTCTGATCTCCCCTACGTGTTTGGCAAAAAAATTGCGATTGCAGAGGACAGGCAACCTAGATTACTGGGAAATGTCTAATCTAGTCAAGCACAGACTTTTTGTGGCTGCGGAGTGTAATCCTTTAAGTTCTCGTATCCCATTTAGAAGCGACACTTCATTATAGTGGAAGATTTCAGATCCACTCTGAAGGTAACTGATTGCGAATTATCACATTGCTCTGTACTGGGTTTTTCAATGTTTCGGTCTACTTAACTAACCTGGTAACCCTGACCCAGGACGACCTTCATAAGCTTATTACCTGGACCGCTGTTTTCTAGATGAGTGCCGGAAACTGCCAGTACTCTGTTTAAACGGTTTTTTCAAGCCCACCGGTGAGGTTGATAAACTCCTACCTGTTTCGATAGCATCCCATGTCATGGGCCTGGGGATTTAAGCCATACCTGACTTTATGACCTTTACTTGGCGTCAAATAGCATTCAGGAAGGTAAATTGCGTACTTTGCCAGCTTGGACATGAAGATCTGTGTGAAGTGCTCTACTGCTCATGGAGTTTACAAGACATCTGCAGGAACTTTGTATGTCTCTTAAAATGGCTGAGTCTGTACCACGTGTGTTTTCACCTGAGGAACAATCCGTCTGCTAAGGAGGGTCAAGCTGTTATCTTTTATGTGTACCTCATTCCAAAAATTCATTCCAGAAAGCTATTAAGAGTCGTCTTGCACAACAGGGCCATGAAATAGGGCAAAATGCTGTCTTTTAGGGATTCCTGTAAAGGTTAATTCATATTTATTGACTACTTGACTCCGGAGAAGGGTTGCGACCCAACCACTGTGGCACCAACGCAAGCAAGCAGCTGCAACGAAAAGGGTTCCCCATGACTTATCGTTAGCAACTCCAGATTAGACTCAACTCGTGTCCGACTACATCTTTTCTCTGATCACTCTATGTACTTTCTCGATCAGCAGCAACATACTTTGCAGCCACACACTTATAACTCCCACCTGTACTATCGACAATATGCATTTCCAAATGCGAATACCCAAACACCACACCTGTGTGAACAAGCCTCACAGCATTGCACCCAAGGTAAGTTGCTTGTCTGGTGTGAACATTTTGTTCATTAAAATGTGTTCTACTCAACCATTGCAGCTGTGAGGCGGTTATAGTCAACCTATGGTGTGGTCATTCTGGCAATGTCATCCAAATCGGCTATCGTAACGCGGTGAAACTTGACAGAATCTTTTAGTACTCTTGTCACTGCAGTGACCGGTGTTAGATCGCGTCGTTCGAGTGACTTCTAAGTTAACAAGCATCGCTCCACATGTTGTGTGTATGCGCGCGCGCATGCAGTGAACTGCACAACTGGAATCAAGTCACAAAGAGCACCGAAAGTGAATTGGGATGCGAAATCTAGCTCTCTCATGGGCCTAGGACGGCCCAGAGACCTCAGAAACCGATTGGCCAAAGGACATTGACTTTCTATGTGGACAAGTCTGAATTGAGTAACTTTGCTTGTCGTGCAAAACACTATGAGATCCTCACACAGCAAATGGCGGCAACGCTGTTTGAGACAATGCGA